CTGTTTTAAGTAGACGTGTAAATTACATTATGTAGTAATTGCATGGAAGCTTTCGGCTTGTAAAACAATGGCTTTGAAATCATTTTGAGTTTTGATGTTCAAATCTAAATTTAGTTTTTTAGATACTTCTTATTGTTTTTAATGATATAGTAAATCTTTTATTTTGTGGAAAAAGAAGTAAAAACATGTCTACTCAACGCCTAAAAATCATTTGACGAAGGTTAATAATATACTCGCTGACAACAAATTTAATACATGCTTCCAAATAAATATGGCCCATAATCGTTCAGTGCATTTAAAATATAGTAACAACACCCAAGAAAAAAAACACCCAAGAAAAAAAGTAGTTGGTATTATAATTAGGGTATGTCAGGGGGAAGGTTACGAGGGCGTAGAAGTAGAATGTCTGGTTATTTTTTTTAGTTAATTTTTATTGTAATTTAGAGTTCAAAAATTATTAAAATTATATATAAAAGGATATAAAATTTTAGATTTTAATAAATATAGATTATTTTTTTAAAAAAGTTAAAATTTTTGCATAATATCCAAAAAATTTTTGACATTTTTTGAGCCGCTCCTGCATATGTGTTTGGAGTATGGGGACCGATCATATCAATCCAAAAACGTTTTTCACGATTAGGTTAGATACATCATACATGATCACGATGATTTGACAATCATTAACGATGTTTTTTTTTAACAAATCATTAACGATGTTAGGTGCTGAAAATTAAGTCGTTCACTCTTTTTATCCGAAAATTTGAAAATTTTATTATGGACACTGATTATCCACGTATGTAATATAATTGACTGCTAGTTTTTTAAGAAGGACAATGCATAATCGATTAAAACCATACAATTTTCTAATGAAAACATATAATTTCTTTTTCATGTTTTTTTAATAAATCAAATGATTCAAACAAATAATTTGGATATTCATCTCGTATATAATGGAAACAAATTTTACTTCAAAAAAATTACAAATATGATAGAGCAAAATTTGAAATGGAAATAGATTATATCAAGTAATCCGTTTCGAAGTAGATAACATCCAACAAATGATACATGTAGTCTACCTGAAACCGTCGGATTGAAAAATCAC